CAAACAAGCACCTGAACGGCAAACACCTTCGTGGGAAATACTTGGCGCCCCACAGTGCTCACTGGGTGGACCCTTCAGGTCTAAATATCAATACATGGTTGCATGGGTAAGCCCTAAACCCTAAATCCTAAACCCAAAACCCAAAACCCTAAATCCTAAACCCTAAACCCTAAACCCTAGAGCCTGAAGAACCGGCGCCTTGTTGTTTCTGTCCTTCTTCGCTGCTTTCGGCTCCAGCAAACATGTCTGAGGGCGCACGCCATCCACAGCCGCCTGCAGGTTGCGCAGTCTCAGAGTGATAAACCATCCCTAGACATTGGGCACTCCTGCGTGTATAGGCATATACATATATATATATATATGTATACACCCTAAACCCTAAACCCTAAACCCTAAACCCTATATATATATATATATATATATATATACATCTATGTATACATATATATATATACACATGCGGAAAAGCAAGTGGGATGTAACATGAATCTTGAAAGATGAAAAAGGCAAAGGTCTTGCAGGGTAGGGTGATGCACAACGGCTCTTTGTTTCGAGAGGAATAGATCTCCAACCACCTCGCAAAGCCCCTAAACCCTAAACCCTAAACCCTAAACCCTAAACCCTAAACCCTAGTGCCTGCTCGGCGCCCAGAGGCTGTACCCTATATTGTAGATATACTTCCAACTCGAATAGGACTACAGTACCTAGTGCTAGTGCCCATGTACAGTCTAAGCACTTAATCCCCTAAATCCCCTGAGTCCCCTAAGTCCCCTTAAGCCCGAAATCCCATAGACCCCCTCAACCCAAAAATCCCCTAAATCCCCTTAAACCCGAAATTTCTGGAAAGTCCCGAGTGATTCCTTGAGCCCGCCAGCCATGAAGACCAAATTCCTAGACGCCAAAAACCCTGAATCCCAAACCCTCAACCCTAAACCCTCAAGCCTCAACCCTCAAGCCTAAACAATTAACCCCAAACCCCAAACACCAAACTCCGAACCCTCAACCCTAAACCCCAAGCCCCAAACCCTAAACCTCTCAACCCTAAAACCCCAAACGGCGCCTCGAAGGCTTCACCAAGCCGCCGGTAAAGCTCCCAAAAAGCGGCCGTCCTGGCCCAGGATCCTAGTTTCGGGTTTAGGGTTTAGGGTTTAGGGCTCAATGTGCTTAGGTCCTAAGGTTTGGGGCTTAGGGCGTTTTGGGGTTTAGGGTTTGGGGCTTTGGGGTTTGGGGGGCAGATAGGTCTTAGGATCTGGGGCTGAGGGTGCTTAGATTTTGGGGTTTGGGGTTTAGGGTTTAGGGTCTTGGGTTTAGGGTTTAAGGTTTAGGGTTTGTACAGGAGAGAGACTAGGGCTCGAATGCTGAAGGTCTTTCGGCATGCACGGCGCTCCGTCTAGGGTTTAGGGTTTAGGGTTTAGGGTTTAGGGTTTAGGGTTTAGGGTTCAGGGTTCAGAGTTTAGGGTTTAGGGTTTAGGAAGCTTGCTAGTGCCTCCGAGAGTTCGGGAAGGTCTCAATGGCGCACCCGATCCCAACAGTCTTAACGGGGTAGAAGGAGGGACCCCTAGAAGGGACCCTTACACTTATTCACCTATTTAACCTATATATATATATATACATATATATATATATATATATATATATATATTTCTCTCTCTCTCTCTCTCTCTCTTATATAGCCTCTTAGGGCCTAAGTAACCCCTAAGGTCCCTTATGAGGCTCCCTCCTTCAGTCCCTTGACAGTCGGAGTCAGTGTTGGCTTGAACCTACTTGGAGGGGTTCAGGGCAATTATTCATCCAACTATAACTGTACTTATCACCCACTTATAACCATGTTAGGGCACATTAAGGGGCTTAGAAGTGGGTTATAAGTACAGTTATGGTTGGTTAATAGGTACCATGAACCTCCAAGTAGGTCCTGGAAGCCTTGGGCCCTCAAGCCCCACACCGTAAAGTGGCTAAAAGGGGAGAGGGGCCTGGGCTGGGCCGGGGGAGGTGTCCCTAAACCCTAAACCCTAAACCCTAAACCCTAAACCCTAAACCCTACATCCCTGAACGCAGGCCTGGCTTCCTGGGATTCCTGGCACTTCATCGGCGGCGAAAGCGATGTTGAATCCGCGCTGTCGGGGCTAGGGTGAGGGTCCAGGGGCCAGCGCTCCCAGATGTTAGGGTTTAGGGTTTAGGGTTTCGGGGTTGCTGGCTACAGGTGCATCTAGAAGAACCCACAAGAAAGGACCCCCAAATGGGACCCTAACTCTCAGCAGTCTCCTGGTCCAGTCCAGTGTCTATGCAACTCTGCAAGACATCTGAAACAAGAAGCCTAAACCCTAAAACCCTAAACCCTAAACCCTAAACCCTACACCCTACACCCTACACCCTAAACCCTAAACCCCAAACCCCTGTGCCGTAAACCCTAAGCCCCCACCGACCCCCAAGTCATCGGCTGCGAAGCTGTGTGAGCCAGTGCGGTGCGGGGGCAGGGACCTTCCAACGAGGTCGGTTGAGGGTTTCCACAGAAGTTTAGGGTTTAGGGTTTAGGGTTTAGGGCTAGGGTTTAGGATTTAGGGTTTAGGATTTAGGGTTTAAGAGTTTCAAGGCTGTTCAGGGCGTACTAAGACTCAGGGATTGAGCTCAGGTTGAAGGCGTCTTGCTTTGGGGTTTGAGCCCGATTCTCCAGTAGCTTGGGGATTTAGGGTTTAGGGTTTAGGGTTTGGGGTTTAGGGTTTAGGGGTTCTAGACCCAAGAGCAACCTAGGGACAAAAAAGGGTGCCCTTTTTGTGTTAAGGGGGTTGTATAAGGGGCCCTGAACCCTAAAAAAAAGGAATAAGGGCCTACTCCGGGTCCTAGGGTTTTGGGGAACAAGACTAAGGGTCCCTTCTCAAAACACATGAAAACTGAAACTCAACTTCCCTTTAGGGGCTACTTAGGCCTTTAGGTTTAGGATGTAGGGCTTAGGGTTTAGGGTTTAGGGGTCCTCTTTTTACCCCCCCCCTCCCCCTTTTTATGCCGACTTAGAGTGCCATGCATGCTCGTGACGGTTCACGTCTCCTTGGGGCCTAGTAGCCCTGAACCCGAAACCCTAAGCCCTAAACCCTAAACCCTGTCTAAGTAGCCCCGAAGAATCGCTAAGGTCCCTTGCAAGGGTCCTTTCAAAAAGGGGGTGTACAAAAGTTGGGGTTGAAGGCATGGGCCCATATGCAGCGTATGTAAGATATATCACCAGGTACTTATTAAGGGTTTAGAGTTTGGTTTAGTGTTTAGGGCTTAGGGCTACCCGTATTCTAGAGACCCAAAGGTAACCTGGGGGAAAAAAAGAGTGCCCTGTTGGGATTTAAAGGGGCGCAGAAGGGAACCTAACCCTAACAGGAATACGGGCTTATTCTAGGCAGTTAACAATATTTGGATGGGGGACCTTATATACACTTACCAATAACAGCAACAGAAACCCTGCTGGCCCTATCGGACAAGATATCAAGGGTATTCTTGCACATTCCTGAAGAGCCCTAAACCCTAAACGCTAAACCCTAAACCCTAAACCCTAAACCCCGAGGAGACACATCTGGGTGGGGACTTGCAAGACTCGACCTTAGAACCCCTGAGCCCCTAACTTACCAGTAACCCCGAGACCCTAAACCCTAGACCCTAAACCCAAAGCCCTAAGCACACGCCAATCCTCCAAACCCCTACGCCCGAAGAGAAATTCCCTGAACACCATACTTTTAAATATCCCTTTGCCTGGTTTTGGGAAACGGATTTGGGCACCCAAAGTAGCTCCGGGGGCTTGAAGTGTACTGCCGTACAGGGAGATCGATGATTGGGGTTCAGGGTTTCGGGGGTTTAGCTCTCAGGAACATGGATCTTCAAAACAGCTTCTTTTAATCCCTTAGTGTGGGCCCTTAAAATACCCCATACAAATTCAGGGCCCATGGAACATCTTGGTAGCCCTGCAACCATCTTCTAATAAGGGCACCCCTTTTTTCGGTAATTTACTTTGTAAGGGAACCTTGCGCCAAAAAAAGGGAAAAAGGTACCACTGAGCTACCGAGACATGGATCTTTGGAGCAACTTCTTTTGAAAGCGAGGCTTGGCGCAGCGGAAGGTTGAAAAAGCTTGTACCTTGACCGGCCCTAAACCCTAAACCCTAAACCCTAAACCCTAAACCCTAAACCCTAAACCCTAAACCCTAAACCCTAAACCCTAAACCCTAAGTTCCGGGCTCAGGGCTCCTGGGGCTGCAGTTTCTGAGCAGTACTTTAAGGCTTAACTGCAGAAACCCTACACCCAAAACCCAAAACCCAAAACCCAAAACCCAAAACCCTAAACCCTAAACCCTAAACCCTAAACCCTAAACTCCTGACCCTGCCCCCTAAGCCCTAAACCTAAGCCGCAGCTCTGATACTTAGGGCATACGGTGAGCTCTCTAAACTAGGATCCTTCTTATCTTTAAGGTAACCCAACGTACAACCCAAAGGATTCATGTACCAAGTCGAAATTGCCAATTTTTCGTGTCTGCCCTATGAAGTACTTGTTACTTGGATACTTAAGCCCTAAACCAGCAACCCTAAACCCTAAAGTCTTCACGACCCGAATCCATGGGTGCCTTCGCACCTGATGCCCTGCTATCATTCCTCTAGTAAACCTCAACATGTAAGAAGGGGATAAAGTCAGGACTGGTCATCCCAGCATAGGATGAAGCAAGGAAGCCCTACCGTAAACCCAAAACCCAAAACCCAAAACCCTAAACCCTAAACCCGAAACCCTAAGCAAGAAAAGGGATGACAGGGTATAGACGCCTGTAGGCGGGCGTTGCTTGGATGTACAGATCCCCCGTATGCTAGCCCTTACATGTACGCCTGACCTAAACTCTTCACCGCCTAAGCCCTAGCACCTAACCCCTAAACCCGCAAACCCCCCAACCCCTAAACCTTAATCCCTAAACCCTGAACCCTAAACCCTAAACCCTGACCAAAAACCCCGAAACCTTCTCCCCTACCGCGTTCAGCCACTCAGCCACTGAAGCCCACCGTCCGCCTTTGCATCCTTGCCCATCAGCTGCGATTTTAGATCTTAAACCTTACAAAAAGAATTGGAAGAAGGGTTGGCAGGTTTGATGTTGAAGGGTGTAAGGGCAAAGGTTACATAGGGTACAGGGTTTCAGGTTAGGGTTTAGGGGTTAGGGTAGGTCCATACACACCCACAGCACTCCGCGGCGACTTTGCGGGTCGGGAACCGCGACAGGGTGCTGTAGCCCTGCTTGCACGAGGGTCTGCAGTATGGCCAGCTCGTCCTGTTTCTTTTCACGCGGCCGCGACGTGCCCCGGCATCGGTGTGGTTGGGGCCCGGATGCCGTCTGCGCCACGCCGAGACAAGAGAGCATCGACATGGTAGCCGTTCCCTCGGTGGTCCATGCGCTTGTACACTGTGCTCTTCCCTCCTCGGGTTCGTAGCCGCACGATCGGGGTTTAGGGTTCAGGGGGCGACAATTAGAGTGATAAGCGTTCAACCGTGAGATTCCCCCACGTACGCCTTAACACAGCTACAACGGCAATCTTTGGGTAGCTTCTTCGGCAGTACACCCTATAAATCCTCAACCCTAAAACCCTACACCCTCAACAGGCGGGGGTGGGGGAGGCAAGCCCGTCCCTTATAATCCTGAAATCACAAACCTAGCCGTGTCCGGGATTATGAAGCTTCGAGTTCAACGATCGGCTACTTGGAGGTTCATGGTGCTTGTTCACCCAATAATGAATGCACTTTTACAACCCAACGATAACCATATTAAGGGCACTTAAGGGGCTAAGAGGTGGGTTATAAGTGCAGCCATAATTGGCTGATAAGTACCATTTCAGACTTTTGGCCTCCGAACCACTTGCGATGTATGCACACTTTGTATCTAAGGGGGACGGGCCGCCGAAGCTCTAGCACTTCTTCTCCAACTAAGGGCAGCTAGGGCAGCTAACTCTGGAGCCAAACAGCAAACACAAAAAACAAAAACATTCTTTTACTTCGAGCATCCCCACCCTATCTTGCTAGAGATACTCTGGGGTTGGGCACTCCAGGGACACTCTGGGGCTGGGCACTCCGGGGACACTTGGGTTGGGCACGAGACTCTGGGGTTGGGCACTCCTGGGAGACTCTGGGGGTGAGTTTAAAATCTAACAACCCCACACCGAGGGTGGGGAAAAAAAAACACACACAGGTCCCAGTGTCCCGCGCGGAGTTCGGCTGTGATCCGCGGTTGCCAAGGCCCAGTGGAAGTCATCCTCGTAGTGAAGAAAGGAGGTACCTGGCCAAAAAGCCAACGAACCCTAAACCCTAAACCCTAAATCCTAAACCCTAAACCCTAACCCTAAACCCTAAACGCTAAACCCTACAAACCTAAACCCCAAATGAGGTTTAATCCTATAAGGCTCCAAGGACTCCTACTCTGAGGTTCTTGCGCCCAAAGCCCTTGCACGATGAAAGGTTATCGGCCAATGTTGAGCCTAAGGGTAGTAATTGCGAGTGGTCACTGCCTTCTCTCTCCAGCACCTTGGAACTGTAAGACCGCAAATCCTAAAAAGACCTCGACAGCACAAGGATGAGCGAAAAGACCAAAAGACAAGAGCGTGCCAGGCCTAAGCTTGGTTCATGGTTGGGATCGTATTAAGAACTTAAACTTCTATTCCCTATAGAGTTTAAATTAAGTACCCTTAAAGATGTAGCATGCTACCCCACTATGACAATGTAATAAAAGGGGGCCGTCCGCCGCACCAGCCACGAAACGAACAAACGACAACGCAAGGACAGCTAAAATGGCTGCAAGGTGGGTTTAGGGTTTAGGGTTTAGGGTTTCGGGTTTCGGGTTTGGGGGTACTCCAAGATACTCCAGGGCACTCCAGGGTCAGGGTACCAAGCCTAGCAAACCAAGCAGTGCGCAGACTCAGCCCCTTTCGGCTGGCACTCTTCTCCCCCCAAACCCTGGACCCTCGGCCCTAAACCCTAAACCCTAAACCCTAAACCCTAAACCCTAAACCCTAAACCCTAAAGCCCTAAACCCTGAACCCGCAGATTCCTTTGCTGTTACTGGGCGACCCTCACGAGGACCCACTCACACTCTGCCAGCCCTTTTCAGGCTGCTCCCAAATCCATGCGCCCTAAGAATGGTACCCTAAACCCTAAACCCTAAACCCTAAACCCTAAACCCTAAACCCTAAACCCTAAACCGCACAAAGTTGCGGGGAGCATAAAGTTAAAGGATTCGGACGCCTTCTCATGACTCTCTCGAAGGTGGCATCTCTAATCTACTATTTGCTTTAGAGCCCCCCTCCCAAAATAAACATAAAAACACACATATGCTTCCGCATAAGGACAACATAGGGATTATTTACTCTTCTTTTTGGGTGGTTCTTAAGCAAACTAATGACAGTAATTAGAGCAATCCACAGATTTCAGCCCTACATCCCCAACCCATGATCCCCAAACCCCAAACCCCAAACCCTAAACCCCAAACCCGAAACCCTAAACCCCAAACCCTAAACCCTAAACCCCACTCGCAGGACAGCCTGGTAGTCTCGTTGGCGAGGGCAGCAGCTCAGTCGAAACCTGGAGAGGCACGTGGCAAAGACCCCTGAGTCGCTGAGTTCTTAAGTCCAGTTTAGGGTTTAGGGTTTAGGGTTTAGGGTTTAGGGTTTAGGGTTTAGGGTTTAGGGTTTAGGATTTAGGGTTTCGGGTTTCGGGTACACTTTCAGTTCTATAGTCCCCCCCAAAATGTAGTGCACTCATTCAGCTACTAGGATCCTCATGCGTTTGTGTATGATGACACGTAGCTATAACTGTAAGTAGCAGTAGAATGAATTAAGATGTTCCCCCTGATATTAACAGATCCTTAAGGGAATTATAGTACCCCTCAATTGTGATACCTATTAAGGACTGTCAGTATAAGGGGAATCATCCCAAAGAATGTGTATATATATATATATATACATATGCATAAACATAGGTAAGCCAAAGTAAACTACAAATAAACCGCACAGCAATTGGGATAATTCAAGTTGGTTTAGGGCTTCAGAATTTAGGGTTTCGGTTCCAAGCAGACTACAATGGTCTGGGGTTCAATTGTTGGAACGCTTGCGGCAACATTTCACCCTGCGTTTGAAGCACGGTTGACTTCGCTGTGGAACTGGATCGCCAAAACCTAGCCCAAAACCCTGAGCCTTCAAGCCCCCGACCCTGGACCCCACAGCCTTAAAGTACCCTCAAACCCTAACCCTAAAACCCTAAAGCCTAAACCCGAAAACCCTAAACCTCAACCCCCCAACCCTAAACCCTAAACCCTAAACCTCAACCCCCCAACCCTAAACCCTAAACCCTAAACCCTAAACCCTAAACCCTAAACCCTAGCCCTAAACCCTAAACCCCTCAAACCCCCAAACCGGCCTGAAGGCCCGCCGCCTCCAAGGAATGAGCAGCCTCGGATGTGAAGCGAAGGTCAGGGCCTTCGGCGCTGGCAGGAGATTAGGGGCTTCGGTCTGAGGGACTATTAGGGTTTAGGGTTTAGGGTTTAGGGTGGGGTTTAGGGTTTAGGGTTTAGGGTTTAGGGTTTAGGGTTTAGGGTTTAGGGTTTAGGGTTTAGGGCTTAGGGTTTAGGGTTTAGGGTTT